TACGAATAATTTTAAATTAATTTAATTTTATTTAAGAAATTTAAAAATTTAAATTATTAGTTAATATATTTGATTATAAAGGATATATTATTGGATGGAACACAATTTATTTATATACTAAATACAAATTAAATCAAGGAAAATATTCACTAAATTTATATTCGCCACCAGCTTAAAGACCTCCTTTTAATGAATTTAAAAAATAAATAGATATTGAAATGTAACATGTATTTTTATAAATAAATAATATATTATTATTTATTTTAAATAAAGGAAATAATCGCTTTACCTTGTGAAGATATAGAAGATGAAATAGATGAAAGAATGAATGAATTGATGGAAGTTAAAAATAAAATACCTAATAATGAAAATAATATGTTTTATTTATAAAATAATAATGAACATTATTAAGTCGATAAAACTTATAGTAAAAATGAAAATTCTTAATAAAAGGCAGATTCTATGAATTAGTAAAACTAACATACTTCTGATATTACAAAATTTCACTAGAATTTATCCGCTTATAATAATTATTAAGAAGATTTAAATTTAAATTAAATAAATGCTAAATAATAATAAATTATTAATGTATCAAAGCCTTAAGTAATATATAGTAATGCTAAATAATACTTAAATTCTTAAAGACAAACTAATGATAATTAAGTTCCTTCTATTTCTGATTTTTCTCAATTCAACTAAAATATAAGTAATATAGGATTAAGATAAAAAAATTATTAATAAAGAAATTCGATTAATTGTGAAGACAATGAAGATATATCACAATAAGTTAAATAAAAATCTCAGTTTATTATATAAATGTAAAAATAATTCTATTTAAAATAATCTAAAGAAATTGAAAAGAAGTTAATAGAAAATAAATAATTTTAAAGATTAAATGAAAATATCAATTTTAAAAAAAGTTATAATTTAAATAGTAATTAAATTTATTTAGATAAAAATATATATTAAGGAATAAATGGATTTGAAATAAATATAATAAAAGTACATAAATTTAAAAAAAAAGATTTTAATATATCTTAAATAATAATAACTGCATAACTATTGGATGAAAATAATGTAATATATATTATATAAAAATAAAAAAATTATATAATTGTTACTTTTTATAAGATTTTATTAATAAATAAAAAAAAAATAAAGAAAAAGTTTTAAATATTTTTTTTTTCAAATATAATTTAAATAAATATATAATTATAAAATATATATATATATATATATATATATTATTTATATATAAATTTATATTCATAAATATATATATATATATATACATTAAATTAATTTTTTTTTTTTTTTTTAATTAGTTTATTGGTGAATAAAAAATATAAATTATTTTAAATAAAAAATCAAAATGATAACTATACATTTCTTGATTATAAGGAATATTTTGAACTCAATTTTCACAAATTAGTTTCTTTATATAAATATTCTTAATTAGAATAATTTAAATTATTTATAACTTATTTAGATGAAGATTAAAATGAATTAGCATGGCAATATATTCCTATATTTAAATTACGAAATATTAATTAGAATCTTTAATAGGTTTACCTTCTATAATCTCCAGCTCTCATACCTCCTTTTTTTGAAGGCATAAAAATTAATTCTAGAATTAAAGTAGATTTTAAAATAAATCCTTTGTAAGGCCATAATTTTAACTAATAAGAAAAAAATTAATCAATTTAATTTTCTTAAGAAAGTCTCAAAAATGTAAAAGTAATTGATTTTACAGAAACAAAAGATAGTTAGGATACTAATTAAAGTTTAAATAAATAATCAATAATAACTAACTAAATAAAAAAGCCTTATTAGTTAACTAAAAATATATAATTATAATAATAAGGTGGATAAGTTGAATAAGTTGATTAAGTAATTATATAATTATGTTAAAAAATAATAATAATAATATAAATATTAATATATTTATATTAATTTAGGATAAATAATAACAAACAGACAACAAAAATAAAAAAAATAAAAAATAATAATAAGATCTTTAATTAACTTAATAAATAGATTTAGTATTACCAAATAGTTTATAAAAAAATTAAAATTCTTAATAATAGTAATAAAGTTCTTAAAAAACAAAACAAATAATAACTAATTTACAACATGAATTACCTGAATAAATATTTTCATAAAGATAATCCGGATAAAGTATTGAGTATTAATTAAATTCCCCTATTTAATAAAAAGAGCATAAAAAAGGAAAAAAAGAAGAAAAAAATGATGAAAAAAAAGAAGAAAAAAAAGAAGTAAAAGAAGAAGAGAAAAAAAAAGAAAAAAAGAAAAAAAAAAGAAGAAAAAAAGGAAGAAAAAAAAAAAGATAAAAAAGAAGAAAAAAAAGAAGATTTAAGCGAGAATATATAGCCAACACAAATAAATATTAGCAAATAGAAAATATATAAACAAATTAAATTAGATAATTTTAATTTAACAAAAGAATTAACAGAATAAAAAGAAGAATAGTTAATAGATGAATAATAAAAGCAAGATAAAATAAACATAAAAAAAAATTTATCATTTTAAAATAATAAAATACTCTAAAAAAAATAAACTATTTAAAATCAAACCTCTTAAAATTAAATAATGAGTATAAGTTCGCCTAAAAATTTAACTAATGAAAAAGCGTAACCTGATATTTAATAATAATAAAAAAAATAGTTCTCAAAATGAATCTACCTCTAATTAAAAAAGCATAAAAAGAGATAATCTTGATACTTAAAAAATTATTACTAATAATTAAAATAATAATATTAATAATTAAGATTCTCCTTCTAATTAATATTAGAAGTATAAATTGAGCCCAGAATTCAAATTAGAAAGAAAATCATCTCCTAAATTAATAAATTTTCAAAAAAACGAAGATATTTATTCTAATTTAATATTAGATATTTTGTAAATTAATAACTTATAAAATTAAAAATATGTAGGATTTACAGTATTTATTTGCATAGAAAATACAAAAAATATACTAAAATCATAAAAAGGTGAGTTATTAGTATTCGAATCAAATGAATTTTATGGAGTTGATGATAACAACATTTGCCATATTTAATAAAGGATTGAATTTTAAATTAAAAAATAATAAAAATACAAAAATACTTTCATTTTGTTTAGCTTTGATGAAGAAAGTGAAAGTGAAAAAAATGAGCAATATATTGAATTCGGATGGCTTGCTTTTTATGTTTTTGATTAATAAGGAGATGTTAAAAAAGGAACTTTTAAATAAAGTTTATACTAGAATCCAATTGTGGATATAAAATAAAAATAACCAAAAATATTAGAAAGTTAAATTTTGTTCAGTATTTAATGAAATATATATTATATTTATTTTTAATTAATTTAATTTTTCATAAATAATAAGTATAATTTATATTTTTAACATACATATGTATGAATAAAAAAAGAATAATCAAGAATTTATTTAGAAAAAAAAATATTAACTATTATTATGTTTTCTTTTAAATAATTTAATAAAAAATAAATTATTATTTAGACTATTTTTAATGTTATTATAATTTAATTTGAGTGCAAGAATAATTAGTGAAATTAGATAAAATATAAATAAAAAATTAAATTTAATAATAACATTAAAATTTTATAAATAAATAAAAAATAAACTAATTAAATTCTTTATCAAATAATGTATAAATTAATAATAATTTTTATATATTGAATTTATATTTATTTATTATAATTGACATATTTATAATAAAAAATATTATATATATACTTTTTTTTTATATTTTTATAAGAATTATTTACATATATATTTTTTAGACTACTTATTAAAAATAATTACAAAACAAAACAAAACTTTAACAAAAATAATAATAAATATATAATATATCATATTTATTAAATTCATCAAAAATATAATATATATCTTTAAAAATTTATTGCACTAAAATATATTAAAATAATATTTAGTGATAATCATTAATGGAATATATTAGTAATTTTAAATATAATATGATTTTAGATTTATTAGAATATTAATTAATCTTTTTTAACATTTTAAAAATCATTTTTTTTTTTTTTTAGATATTATTAAAAGTTATTAAAAAGCAATAAATGTAAATCAAATTATAGACTTGATAAAATATATAGAATAATTATTATTGTTATTAAAAAAATATATTCCTTTATTTTTATTTAATTATTATTAGGAGGTTCATTGATATCAAGCGATGGATATATAAATCGTTGATTTATAAATTTAAGGAATAATTTGCTTACCAGATTTAGTTATGGTAAAAAAATATAGTATTTTTTAGTACAGAGTAATAAAATGATTTTTTGAGTATAAAATTTGTATAATATATATTTTTAATTGTATTTTATGTATAAATATATTTATTAATAAATTAAAAAAAAATATATATATTCTAATTTATCCCCTATTAGCAAAATTTAAATTAATAGAGTTAGTTATTAGTCTAAAAAATTGAACTTTATATGATAAAAAAATTTAAATTAAGATTCCGCATATAGTTCAAATCCTGTATTAATTTTGTAATTATTATAAGATAGAATATGTCATATATAAAAAGTTTAAGAATTAATAAATGATATATCAAGCAAAGATAAAACCTTATAATTCTAATTTAAATACTTGAAAATAAATTCTATATTGAATTTTATAACCAATTTAAAATGATTAGCATTTTTCAGAAATAAATATTAAAACAAAAACTTATTAACAAATAATTCTTTATAATAAGACTATAAAAAGTAATTTAGGTCTTATAAAATTCAGAAATCATATGAGGAAATAATAAACTTAATAAATTTACTGAGTAATTTCTAATAGTAATCTATTTTTAATGTTTTTATAATCGATAATTATATAAAAATATAATATAATAAACAAATTAAATATATATTTAAATAAATAATAAAAATATATATTTTTAGATAATAAAAAATTTATTAAAATATGAAAATAGATTCATAATAATATAAATATTTTTTTTTCAATTGCTTTTTTTGTTTTTTTTGTTATTTTGATTATTATTATTAATTTTTTTCAATTTCTTCTTAATGATATTTTCTCTTTTATTAAAAAATTTAATTTTTTCATTTCTAGATTAAACAACAATAAGATTATTATTATCCTATATATCTTTTAATTTATAAACTTTGTTCTCAAATCCTGCACTAATATATTCTAAATCTCCTCCAAGTATTTAATATTATAATTTACTTTTGTCAATTACCCCTTAACTAAAAACAGTTTTAAAATCATCACCGCCAGCATTTAAAACATTAAATGAGAATGTAAGAATTGTAAATTAATCGTCAGAATTTACAATATCTCCATTATCAAGTCTTGCACTTCCTTCAATAAAAGATAAAGAAGGTTCTTTAGTAACTTTCATATAAAGTCCAGTATATGAATAAAAGGCTCTTTTTCCACTTTATAAAATTGTTGTCATTTTCAAAAGTTAATCGCCAGTAACATTAAAAGAAGCAACATTTCCTTTAAAAGGGAACATAGTATTCATATCAGCTTCAGAAACTTCGCCTGCGAAAAATTCAGATCTAAATCCTCCATATCCTAATATAGAAATAACTTTATTAGGATCATAATCTTAATTTTTGGAAAGGAAATTTCTTTTTAAGGCTTATCCTAATAAAGCTCCTAAAGGGTTAAAATCAGTTTTAATGTTTAAAAAGTCATCATCTACACTAAAAATAACATTTTATCTCATTTTCATTACTAAGTCGACAACACCTTTATACTTATCTGAACTAAACAAATCCAAAACTCTTTAATCTATTTCTGAAGTGAGAGTAGAGTTTTTGAATTTAAATACTTTCATATTTTTATCTTTAGGTACAGTATCACATCTCATATTTTATTTAAAGACATGACTACAGAGAGGAATCGGACCTTATATTAAAGTTTTTTTAGAGTCAACCCTATATTAGTTTTCATCATATTTGAAATTTAATCTTATTACATTAGCATATTAACCTCCTAAGGGATTCTAAACAATAGGAATTCCATTCAAGAAATTATGAACCGTATCATGTACATGTCCTGCTACCCAACCATCAATAGTTCCTTCAGGAATTTTATGAATAAATTTAGCTATTTCTCTTTCATTGCATTTTACACTATTATTTTTCAAATTATAAATCGTTCTAACTCTATATCTTTTAAATTCATTAACATTTTCAGGCGAACAAAGAATTCCAATATGAGATACTACTAAAACTGCATGTACTCCTTCTTCTTCCCTTAGTTTTTGACTCTATTCAATTACTATTTAAGCATATTAATCATCAATATCATAATCTATAGGTGGCATTGATGTTGATGTATAAGTTTCAATAGTTGTAAGACCAATTACTCCTATTTTAATTTATCCATCATGAAATTCAAAAACTTTAGTTTTCATTAATTTGTTATCATAATCTTAAACTAATTTTTCAAGTGATTTATTCAATTCATCCTTAGCTTTTTAATCACTAATTGTTTTTAATATTTCCTATATTTCTTCAGGGGATTTTCTTTCCATATTAGCAACAAGATAAGGATATTGAGCATTATTGATAAATTTTATTATTCTATCTTTTCCCCAATCCCATTCATGATTCCCTATAGTTGTAGCATCTAAATCCATCAGATTGTAAAAGTCAGTTATTAATTCACCACTAGTTTTATAGTTCTCTAAAGTTCCTTAGAATTAGTCTCCCCCATCTAACCATAGGACTCCTTTAGGATTATCTTTTCTTAGAATATTAACTAAGCCAGATAATAATTTAAATCCTCCTCTCATATATTCTTATTCGTCTTATTTCTTGTTTAATTCTATAGCAGCCCCATGAACATCATTTGTTCCCAATATATCTACATATAAATCTTGAGTTGATGATAAGGAAATATATATTATAACTAAGAAATTAATAATATAAGATTTTAAATAAATCATTTTCCTTTTTTTAATAAATTTAATTTTTAATTTATATTTTAAATATTTATATTTTTAAAAACGTATAATCAAATTCTATTATTTACTTTAAGTATTTTTTATTTAGACACTATAATTTAAAATATAAATTATAAAAAATATAATTTCTAATTTAATTTTTTTAATAAACAGATTATGCTTAATTAACATTATATAATTTTCATGAACAAAAAAATTTATTTAACAATAAATAATAATTATTTTAATTTTATAAATATCTTAATAAATAAAATAGTTAATATTTTTTAAATTTAATTTATATTAATATTATTTATTAAAAGAAAATAATAATTTATTTTAATTAAAAGAGTTTTAAAATAAAAACTTTAATTTTATTTTTTTATTTATGCATTTTTATATATATATTTTTTTTATTTGTTCTTATAAACATAGTTTATTAATATTTATTATATTTTCTCATTTTCTTAAAATTATTTCAATTATAAATTATATATTATTTTCATATTGTTTATTTAATAGCAAAAATTTACATTATTTATAAGCTTCATTATTCTCTTTCTCTTGCAAAATACTATTTATGACTTCCTATTTTCTCAAATTCTATTATATTATAAAATTCAGTCATTAAATTTCTTCAGTTTATTAAGGTTTTTAATATTCTATAAATTAGTCGTCAGTATTACAATTATATTCTCTTAGTATATTTATTAATCTCGAAAGTAATTTATATCTTTCTATTATATATTCTTGTTCATTATTTTTTTTAATAACTTTTGTGGCTGCAGCATGTATATAACTAATCCCTAAAATATCTTAGTAAAGTGAATCTGGTTGGTTAGCTTGTAGACAATTTTATTAATATTAATAAAATCTTGATTTATAATATAATACGTATTTTTTTATTTGAAAATATCAATATTTTAAAATAAAAAATATATTGATGATAAAGTAAAATATCATTTACTTTATTAAAAGTTTATATTTTAACATACAGCTTATCTAATTTTTTAATTTGTCTATATGCTTTTATTAATAATAAAAATAAAATAATAATAATAAAATCATAATTCATATAATTTTTAGTAAAAAAATAAAAAAATTGTGTAAATTATATATATTTTTAAAAAAATTGTATAATTTATTCATATTATTTTTATTTTATTTTTTTAAACTTAGTTAAAAATAAAAAAAATAAAAGAAAAAAATTGATAATGGCATTTTTTATATGATTGATTTTTTTAAAAAATACTATATAAAAATAAAGTCAACTATATATAATAAATAGTTTTATTGTAAATGATGTAAATGATTTAAAATTATTTTTTAATCATTCTCATTTAGTTCTTGCAATTAACTATTAAACAATTGATTATCTAATTGTAAGATTTTTTTAATCCAAGAAATCTTATAAATAGTATGTTTTCTTTTCAAATCCATCCAAAAAAGCATTCAAATCTAAATCAAATACTTTTGATTATAATGAATCTTCAGTAATAATTCCTTAGTTAAAAATAGTTTTAAAATCATCTCCTCCACCATTTAAAACATTAAATTAAAATGTAAGAATAGTAAATTCATCATCATTATTTATTTGATCCCCATTTTCTAATTTAGCACTATCTTAAATATATTAATAAGGATTTTTACCTACTTCCATATTTATTCCACTAAAACAATAAAAAGGTTTTCTTCCACTTTATAAAATTGCTATCATTTTCAAAAGTTAATCACCAGTAATTTTAAAAGAAACAACGTTTCCTTTAAAAGGGAACATAGTATTCATATCAACTTCAGAAACTTCGCCTGCGAAAATTCAGCTCTAAATGCTCCATATCCTAATATAGAAATAACTTTATTAGGATCTAAATCTTAATTTTTGGAAAGGAAATTTCTTTTTAAGGCTTATCCTAATAAAGCTCCTAAAGGGTTAAAATCAGTTTTAATGTTTAAAAAGTCATTATCTACACTAAAAAGTATGTTTTATCTCATTTCCGTGACTTGATTAATAACTCCTTTATATTTTTCAGAATTAAACAAATCTATTACATTTTAATCTACATTCGATAGAAGATTTTAATTTCTAAACTAATATTCTACCATGTCAATATTTAAAGGTACTTTTTCACATATTTTATTCGACACAAAAACATGAGAACATAAAGGAATTGGTCCTTAAATTTCGGTATCATCACTAACAATTTAATACTTTCCATTACTTTAAAGTTAAAATTTCAACCTTATTACATTTGCATATTTTCCACCTAAAGGATTCTAAACAATTGGAATTCCATTCTAAAAAGTATGAACAGTATCATGTACATGCCCGGCAACCCATCCATTGACAGTTTCTTATGAAATTTTAGACAATATTTAAGGTATTTCTTTTTCATTGCATTATATACTATTATTTTCTTCATCTGAAGCAGTTCTAATTTTAAATTATTAAAATTCATCAATATTTTTTGGAGAACAAAGCATTCCGACATGAGAAACTACTATTACAGCGTCAACATTTTATTGGTTTTTTAATTAATTGCTTAGTTCAGTAATAACCTCATTGTATTTATCTGATATATCATAATCATTAGGAGGATTTGCAGTTGAATAATAAGTTTCAACTGTGACCAAACCAATAACTCCGATTTTAATTTTTCCATCATGAAATTCGAAAACTTATGTTTTTGAAACTTTCTTTGAGAAATCATTAACTAAAGTATCAAGAGATTTATCTAAATCTTCTAATGTTTTTATATCTTTAGTATTACTTTTTATTTAATCTATTTCCTCTTAGGATTTTCTTTTCATATTAGACACCAAGTATTTATATTTAGCATTATTCATGAATTTTATTATTCGATCTTTTCCCCAATCCCATTCATGGTTTCCTATTGTTGTAGCATCTAAAAACATTGTATTATAAAAGTCTGTCATTAAATCTCCTTATGTTTTGAAGTTTTCTAGTGTTCCTTAAAATTAATCTCCTCCATCTAACCATAAGACTCCTTTAGGATTATCTTTTCTTAAAATGTTTATTAGCCCAGACAATAGCTTATATCCTCCTACTTTATAGGCAACTCCATCTGCTGTTTGTTTATCTAATTATAAGCCTGCTCCATGAATATCATTAGTACCTAGAATATCTACGTAGATGTTTTTTTATAGTTATTAGTATGTTAGTTGGCTTTATAATATAATTATAATTATGAAAATTATTATGTTTTTTTTAGACATTTTTATTTTAAGATATTAATTATTTTTAAGAAGTTTATATTTATTAGATAATCAATATAAATAAAATAATACATAAAAAATGTTATAAATTAAAAAATAAAAAAAAAAAAATTTTTTAAAAAAAAATTATTATAAAAATATTTATTTATATATGAATTATTTATAATATATATATTATTATGTATAAAAATAAATATATATTATTTATTTATTATATCTTTATTAATATTTATATAATAAAAAACATTATTTTTTAATAAATTTTTATAATTTATAATTTTATTTATATAGAGTTTATATATATATATATATATATTTATATATATTTATATATATTTATATATATTTATATATATATATTTTTTTTTTTAACTTATTAATTAATCAAATTTGATTTCATTTATAGTAAAAAATATTATTATAATAAAAAAAATTTATAATACCTTATTAATTTATATATTATTTTACTAATTAATAATTTTTTAATATTTTTGAAAATTAATACATATATGTTATATATTTATAATAATATTAATAATTCCTCATTATTTTTATCAATATTTTAAAAGAATATTTTTTTTATTTTCTCATATTATTAATATAATATATTATTTAATATATATAATTGTTTTATTAAATTTCATTTTAAAAATAATGATATTTTAATTTTATATATAATATAATTAATTCTTTAAATTTTTTTTTATTACTTTACAATTTTTAATGAAATTTTTAACATTATATTATATTAAGATTATATAACTTAAATTATTTAATCATATTTTAACATTTTTTCTATAAGTTATTATTTATTCTAATAAATAATAAATAAAATATTAATTATTATTGTAAACTAAATATTATGTTAATTATATCTTTAATTATATGAAGTTTTTATTTTTTATTGATTTTTTGTATATTAAATGAATATCTTTTTTTAATTTATCAGAAAGTATAAATTTTTTTAAATTTTAGTACGCATTTTATATATTAAATACGAAATTAATAATAAAAAGAAATATTATTTTTTGTTAAAAAAAATTAAAAATAAAATTAATATGTATTTAATAATTTTAGTAAAATTTTAAATAAATATTATTTAAAATAAAAGTAATTTTCTAATATTTTATTATATTCTTAAAAATAAAATAATTTTTTATATATAATTCACTTTTTTATTAATAATTAATTCTTATATAGTTTATTATCTCATTTAGCATTTTTTTATCTTATTAATATTATAAACATTTTTTTTTATATAAATATATTCATAAAAGCATTTAAATTATAATCAAATTCTTAATATTTTATTTTATTTGCATATAAATAATTCCTAAGTTAAAAATAATTTTAATATCTCCTTTTTACTCTTTATATAAATATTTTAGAATCTATTATTTTTTTCCAATTTATAGTATGGCACTACCTTCAATTTTACTTTTATTCTATCATATCAAATTATTTTGTATTATATTAATTTTATTATTTTGTTTTGAGTTTTAAATTTTCTATACAGTTTTTATAACTTATATATATTTTTTTTGGTAAATAATTACTATTAGGATAAAAGGTAATTAAAAATAGAAAGAAAAAATGAAAATATAATGAAAAATATATGAATAAAATTATTAAATATACTTTAAAAGAAAATTCAAATATATATTTTTTTTAGACAATAAATAAAAAAAATATTTAATTTTAATTTTTTTTTAAAAAAAGATAAAAAATATCAATTATGAAATTAAAAAAAATAAAATATATATTATCATAAAAAATAAAATAATTTTATATAACAATGGAAAATATATTTATTTATTTATTGATTAATTATATTAAAAATAATAAAAATCAGAAAGCTAATAATATTAATTCTAATAAGCAGATGAATATCAAGAAAAGGAAAAACAGTTTTACAATGGACAAATAAGAGTTTAATTCACTAATTTTAGAAGGATTATAAAATTTATTAGATTAAAAATTGAGATGATTAATAAAAATTATAATAAATTTTGAATATTAATAGTTAATAAACAGTTTAAATATTAAAATAGGAATTAGATTAATTATTAAAAAGAATAAATTTTTAAATATATCTGAAAAGAATTTTAATAAATATACAAAAAAATATAAAAATTTAGAATAATCAATTATTAAAAATCCTAAATTAAAAAACATTTATAAAGAACATTTGAAATTGAGAATAATTTCTTTTAGTTTTTATTTTCAAAAAAAATAAGGAAAATTTATAAAAACTTAAAAATATATAAAAAGAAAAAGATTCAAATTTTAAACTTTAAAATAATATATAAATTTATATAGTTTTTAAATGAATTTAAAAGAGATAATTGCATAAAAAAAATTTTCATAAATAATCTATTAATGAATTTTCTGAATATATAAAATTATAAAATAAACCTAAAATAAATATATAGAAATAATATAAATATTGCAATAACAGACTAAGATTTATTTGTTTATTTTTTTTTTAAAAAAAAAGGATTTTTATGCAAAATAATTAATTATATATTGTATTTTATTTTAAAATTTAAATTATATATAATTGTAATTTTTAGGATTTTTTTTAATTATCATAATAATAACTAATATATTTTTGACAATATAAATTAAATTATTAACTATAATTTTAAATATTATCTATTAAATAATTATATGATTTAGAATTTTTCAAAATTTATATTCATATTAAATATATATTTTTTTTTATTTATATTAAAAAATGAATCAATTTTAAAATCTAAAATGAAATAGTGGAGACTTTCTTATTTAATCTTAATCAAAAATAATTTTTATATTAATTATACTAAAATAAAACAAAATTAATATAAATTAACAGATAAAAAAAAGAAATATAAATAATATTTTATTAAAAATAAAAAAAATGTATTGCAAAAAATAATTCCATGAAAAAAATGAATTAAACTATATATGTTTAGACTGGGATTGTATCGAAAAAGGTTTAGTATGTAAATCATGTATTGAAGAATTTCATTTATCCCACATCGTCCAACCATTATAAGTATTCACCAATACATATCGTGAAAGCCTCTAATTATAAAACGACTGTCCAGATTTAGAATTAAGTCTTAAAAATTTAAAAGAAACACAAAAAGAGATTTTTTGTTAGTTAGCTACATTCCAATAGACAATAATTTAATTAATATAAGATGTAAAAAACAAACTAACAAACTAATTATAGACAGACAATTAATATATTCAAAACATAATTAAAATGAATCAAAATTATTTTAATTTAACATAAGAATTAGATTAAAAAAATTTTAATTTATAACTTAGTTAATAATAGGATAATGCCCTTATTTTATTATCTAGATTATAATATATTAATTAAAATAATCCTAAATTTCAAGTTTTATCATTCCGAGAGGAAAATCAAACTAATATTACAAAAATAATGAATAAAATCTAAGCTATTAAAACTAATATTTTTCAAGAAACAGCAAAAATAACAAAAGATTTACATGATTATTTACAAGGAATATATATGTATGCCCTTAAATAAAGCTCTAATATATCAAATAATGTAAAATTAAATAGCAATAGCAATCAAAATAAATCTGTAGAATTATAAATAAGCCCTATTAGAAACGCAAGTGGGAAACGAAAAAATATTTTTTAGAGAAAACCTTCCACAACTTCATTAATAAATACATAAGAGAGTATTAAAAAAGAAAATAATTAAATAAAATAAAGCAAATATAACCCACTTATTTAAGAAAATCCTTTCAAAACAGAACAAAGTCCTGATTAAAATTCCATTTTTTTAAACAATTCTTAACTTAATGAAGAACAATAAAAATAACAAAATAATTCAGAAGAAAATACATCATAATAAATATCATAAACATTCAATAATAGCAAAAATATATGTAATAATATAAATAATAGCATAATCAATACCAGCCATATCAATAATAATTATAACAAATCTAATAATAGTAATAACATATTGAATAGTAACATTAATAATAATCCAAATCCAAATATAAAAAAATAATTATAAGTCCAATAATATTAAAATCTTCTTTAATAAGCTTAATAAATATAAAGTCCAGCTCAAAAACAGCAAAATTAATAATGCCATAAAAAATAATTGTATTCCATATAATCATAATAACCGTAAAAATAAAATTTCCATAATAATCAAAATCTTTCTACCCAGAAAATTAATAGTAATTATTAAATATAAACCACATAATCTTAAACTTAATAATCTTTCCCAAACATGATTTCCTCTCCAAATCAATTTTATTAGAATTAAATATAATAATCTCTATTTACATAAAGTCCTTTATAAATAAATAACTCTTCATAAAAAACTACACAATAAAATCAATTAATTATGCAAAAAGAAGTGCCTTAAATTAGTTGTAATTTTTTCCAAAAACAAAGAAGTTATACATAAATACCTTTAAATTAATAGCCAAATCAAACAGCAAAATAATAACTTTTATCTGACCAATTCAAAGAAACAAGTAAGTTTGTTTCTAATAATCCATCCATTTGTGCTGATAAAACAACATGGAGAGCTCATGATGACACTATAAATGTACTCGAATTTTTCGAAAAGAATAAAATAGCCACAGGCTCAGAAGACGCAAAAATAAAAATATGGGAAAAAAGCGAATTTAAGCTTATATAAACACTAGAAGGTCATACATAAGGCATAAAAGTTCTAAAATATGACCAATCATCGCGCATACTAGCATCAGGAGGTAAAGATAAGTAAATCTTAATATGGAGACCAATTCCTTTATGGGAAAAAATTCACATATTAAATGGCCATTCGTAAAAAATAACATGCCTATAATTCCAAAACGAAAAAACATTAATCTCAGGAAGTGAAGACGGGAATTTAATCATATGGGATATCGAAAAAGGGAACGGTAAAAGAAAACTGGAGCAACATAATGGAAAAATAAACGATTTTATAATCTATAATGAGTAAAATATAATGGCAGCATGTGGTTAATTTATTGCTTTTTGGGATCTTAATACTTTTGATTTATTTAAAAAGGTCTAAGCTCATGATAATTAAATTAATTAAATCTCATTTTTAAATAGAAAAAATTAACCTGCCATAGTTACAGCTTCTGATGATAGCTTTTTGAGAATTTGGGATGGTTTAAGTTTAGATTAATTAGAGGAAATTTAAGAGGAAGATTATAAAATTGTATGCTTTGATTATAATTTAATTTATGATTTGTTAGTTTATGTGTGTATGAAGGATGGTGTTAGTAAAGTTTGGGTTTATTCGGTTGGAAAATAAAAAAAAATGTATGTAATTGATGAGTTTTAAAGCTGTATTTTTTGTATAAAAACTGATAAATAGGATTTATACTTAGTTTAAAATAATGGATTTGTGGAAAATCATAAATTATAAATTAAATTTTGATTTTTTATTATGATATATATTTTTATTTTATTTTTATGTCTTTTATTTTTTATTTAGTTTCGTTTATTTACTTTATTTTTGGCTTTTATTTTTATTTTAAATTTATTTTTTAATTCACTAATTATTTACTTAAAGTGTTTTACTAATCTAAAATAAAACCATTTAATATATTATAATAAACAAAAAATATTAATAATATAAAGAATAAAGCATATAAATATATTAGATGATTTCTCATATATTAAATAAAATCAAGTATGATATTATATTTTTTATATATTTTAATGAATATAAAAGTTAAATATAATTATTAAATTCATAATAATATATTTTTAAAGAAACAAAAATATGTAAATATTTATTTACTTATTATAATTAGTTAAATAAGATTTAGTAAATTAAGAAAAAATAAAAGAAATATAATTTCTAATATTTAATATTACGCAATTTTTTAGATTGAATAATTATAAATATAATGATTAAAAGTTAAATTATGACACATATTGAACTTAGTAAAGTACAGATAAAAGTTTAAATATTAAACTGCAGTTATAAAAGTTAAATCTCCAAATTAAATAAATGATAGATATATTTCAAACAAGAGTATTTTATTAAAAATGAAAGAGATTCAACATTAAAATAAATATATCCTTTATTTATAAAAAAAAAATATAATTAATATTTTAAAATATATATATATATATTTATATTATATTTATAAATAATATATTTTAAATATATATTTTCATATAAATTAAACATTTGTTAATTTTAAATTTAATAATTTTTATAAAGTTTTATTTCTATAAAAACTTATATAATTATCAAATATAAATTTCTATTTTTAAAATAAAAATATTAATAGTTTGAATTTACTAATTAAAAAAAAAATTCTTCTGATTTTAATTTATACGAATTATAAAAACATATTTTTATTATTTTAAATAATCATATATATAATGCATTTATAAAATTTTAATCATTCTTCATTCATTCCATTTTCATTAGTATTTTCTTTTATATTTAAAGTAAAAGTTTCAACCTTATTTTTATATAAATAAAATAAAACTCTATAAATAAATAATAAAAAAAAATATTACTTAATCACACCCAGCATAAGAATCGCAAATTAAATAAATAGAAAATTCAGTTTTTCCAACAACTTCAGGAGAATCAAACTCTAAAGCAATTTCAGCTTTAGATTTAAATCCTAATCTTTTGATACTATATAAATTATTTTACTTTTTATCTGAAATTAATACCCACCATATTTCTTCTTTTTACTTAAATAATAAAAATAAATAAATACAAATTATTATATTTTATAAAAATTACTTTAGGATAATAAGGAGCAATAACATATTCTGTATAATCTTCTCCATCTCTTTCCAAGACAACATTAACTGTAACTTTAGAACCTGAATAAATATTATCTTTATCCTCAATATTATATCTTATACTAATGCTTGGATACCTATTACTTGCAGTAGCAATTTCCTCAACTTATTCCTAACTAAACTACTTAAGTATTTTTTCTCTATCGCCATCATCCATATTTTAGAAATCAGCAATATCTTAAACACCTATTTCTTTTAATTAATCTACAATTTCAGCTGTAAAATAAGGCAATTATAATAAAGGGGAACTATTCTACCATAACCCTTAAACAACCATTTAACAAAGTTTCATAGCTCTAATAGTCTATTAAATATAAAATTTATTTAAAAAAATAATTTTTTTACTTATTAGGACCAACCATTTGAATTAATAACATCAACCAGAGCATGAATTAATCTAACAGCATTCTCTAGAATAAGTTTTTGATCATAATTAAGATCTGAATTGACTTATAAACGTGAAAAATAAGCTTGTAATAAAATAAAGGTTTTCGTTTTTGGTTCATTGAAGTTAGTTTTGTCATAAGAAAAAGTTATCTTTTAATTTAAATTGAATAGTAAAGAATCTTCATTATATCTAATAGGGATTTCTTCAAATTCTTTCGCATTTGATAATATTTCAATTAAATGTTTAAGTTTTGACTCTTGTTTTATATTTTCCCCAAAAAGTTATATTGTTTCAACATCTATATAGTAAAATCCTGCTATCTAACCTAAATTTAGTAAATTTAATTCCGTATTTTCCTATTCTTATTGTATGCATTTAAACTCACCTAGTTCTTCCAATGATTATTCTATAAGCTCACACAAATAATCATTTACAGCAGTACCAGATACTTCTTATAAACCATAATAATTTGGATTTTGGGAAAGTCTCCAATACATGAATGACCAAGTAATCCAATCAATACAATCTTCGATACTTTTAATGTTTTTAGCATATATTTCTCCACATAAATGATTTGAAAGATTTTGATTTAAATGAGATTCCACTGGATAAGGTTCAAAAAGGAATTTTTTATAAAATTCTTTTTTAGGACCATGACAGAACACAAGACATTTTGCATTTACATTTTCTTAATTATTATTTTTATTATTATTGTTATTTTTCACGAACTCTTTATTTTTAGCATATGAAATCATTTAAAGCATATCAGGAATAGTATAATCTACATACTTTCTTTCTTACCCATTATATCTTTAATTATCTAAAATAACAGTTATTTAAGCATACAAATTAAGTTCCCAACATAGTTTATAAGTTGAAATAATTATCTATAAGGCTCCTGCATTATATAAGTTTTCAATTAAAGTTCTCTAATCTTCTAACATTCCTTCATATACGAATCCTATTCCATATTAAACTACATCAGCAAGTACGTGATCAGTTATTTATTCGGCGATTTCCTTTATTTTTTATTCTGGGGCTTTCAAAAATTTCTTTGGCTTATTATCACCTGTGGCTAATGTTTATAAATCTAAAGCTGTTAATCTTGCTTATTTTCGGTCACATACAAATATTATTCCTTATTAAGTATCATTTTATAAGAATTATTTTAAACCTATATATATATATATATATATTTTTAATTAATTTATAATTTTATATTTATTAATACACACCTTAATACATGTGTTTCTACATAGCTAATAATCTAGCCCTTCTATGATTTTATTCGAAACCAGTGATATGAATATCTACAGGATAAGGTCTCACATTAGGATGGAAATTGAAGATATTATTTTATTAAGCACCAATCCAAGAAGCCATTTCCTTTTTTTTAAAAAAAAAAAAATGTAAAAGCATATAATAATAATAAAATTATTTTATAAATAAATAAAAAAATAAGATTACTTTATAATCTGCTACAGAAGTTGATAAACCGATAATTTAAATTTTATTATTTTAATCCATTTAAGAGGAAAATAATCTCATTCTAGAAACAATTACTTCAAGTATTGATTTATTTTCATTTAACAAATGAAGCTCATCAGCAATAAAAAGCCTAATATTTTTGCTTTAAATTTATTTTTTTCCTCTCCATCTTCTGGTCATAATATCCCAATTTTCCGGTGTAGAAATAATAATATCATATTTTTACAAAATAATATTATCAGTCTTAGTTTACCCAGTAAGAATTCCAATTTTTTTATCCATATGTTTAAATGCCTTGCATAAAATTTTATACATATTTTAACAAATACTATCTTAAAGTCCTACATAAACAATTTTCTTATCCTCATTAAAATATCCTTTGAAAATCCTTAATATAGCCAAAATAATACAAGTAGTTTTCCCAGACCCAGTCGGAGCTCCAAGGAAGATATTTTCATTTTAATTATAAAATGAATTATAAACTTAAGTTTAAATTTAATTAAATTAATAAATTCCTAAAGCTCTTAAAGCCTATTCTCCTTCATTAAACTACAGCTAATTAACTGGCATTAATTAAAACTCCAAAAGTTTAGTCGGAGCTGAAAATTATTAAGGTAAAATAAGATTCTTAAACGACAAAGGTATAGTAGTTTCAGATTAAATCCATCTATCTGAAATAACCTTAATATAATAAATAGGATGCAAATTTTCAAATAAGCTAACAATAAAAGAGAATAAATAAGACCTATTTTCTTCCACAAATTTACTTTTCATTGTAAAATATTCACTGTAAAGTAATTCTTCCCCATCACAATCAGTTACAAAAATCCAAAAAGGTTCTGAATTCCCATGTACTTTCTTATCCCAATTAAAATCGGCTTTTACATTTAAATCAATCTTTAAGCATCCTCTCGTAATTGGTTAGACTAATGGTTCTAACTCTAACCTTGGGAATTAATGTATTTTATTATGTAATAATTTTCCTACTTATTACACTTTAACTAAATCACTTAATTATTATTAATTCATATTATACAAATGTTCAAAATTAAACTATTCTTTCTTTTCTATTCTCCTTAAAATTTCTTCTGGAATACTCTTAAACTACCTCAAAGGAGTCATACAACTCCACATTCTTTTGTCTACCATTTTACACATTGTAAGAGCTATTTCGGCTACGTTAGCCCATCCTTTTTTAGGCAAATTTCAAACATTGCCCTGACAATTCTACCAGCGCTCTATGTAATATAAATCATATCAGAATTGAGTGCAAATCCGTCCAATTTAAGTCTTCCTATATAAGCTTGTAATAAAATATTTATTTTAATTGCAGGATCTTCAGGTGACCCTTTTATAGGAATAGGGACTGTGTCCATTAGTTTTTATAATTCTCCCTTTTCTTCTTCTCTTATAGGAATAAACTTAAATTCATTTGAAAGAGAAAAAACTTTAAAAATTTCAACTACACCCATATTTAATTTCAGGTGTTTATTATAAATTTCCATTGAAGGATATTTTATATAATAATGGCTTGCTATTTTTCCCAAAGAAGTAGCCTATAGAATTCCTGTTTTCCTATCATACTTTACTAAACCATATTTATCTAATAAAGTGGCTGCTGAATGCACCAAATTAGCCCTATGTCTAACCAAAAGTCTATCTTCTTCAAATTCTTCGAAAGGTATACTATATAAATCAGGTCTTCTTAACATTCTTATATATAAATAAGTATATCCAAGCCAATCTACAGCATCTTTTACATTTGAAATAGTTCCCAAAACAACTTCAGCATTCAACTAATCAGGTAATTAACATAAAAATTAAGACTCAATAGGAAGCTATTAATTTAATAAACTTAAATAATATTTTAATTCGGTATATGTAGTCAATATTATACCTTCGCCTTTTCTATCAAAAGAAGGTCTACCTGCTCTTCCAATCATCTGATATATTTATAAAAATATATATAAATAAATATGTATTATAAATATAAATATAAATATATATAAATTTATATAATTATATAATTATATATATATATAAATATATATATATATATATTTCTATTTATATATTTAGATATATATATATATATTATCAAAATTTTACTTATAATATATCTTAAGGACTTAATTCTGTCCATTTTCCTTATTCAGGTGAATAAATTTATGTTCCTTTTATTATAACTGTATGTGCGGGTAAATTAACTCCCCAAGCTAATGTAGCAGTAGAAACCAAGACTCTTAGATGTCTTTAGAAAAACAAGCTTTCGACTAAATTTCTATCAGCTCTATTCAAACCTGCATGATGTATTCCAAAACCAAAAGGTAGCATTTCTTTTAGTTATTTATTTTATGCTTTTTCAGCAACTGATTAAAGAACTGTTTAACTATCTGATCCTTCACTTTTTTTAAATTTTTTTTTTTTAAATAAATAAAAAAAATATTACGTCAAAAATTTGCCTAAATCATCTTTTGAATATGCTATTTCTCTTAAATAATTAGCTGTTTTGACTGTTTCTCTTCTTGAATGTACAAAAATAATCATAGGTTTATCACTAGAAGCTCTCTAAACAACTTTCTCATATAGAATTTCATTCATTAACATCATTCTTTTTACTGCCTTCTTTTCAGTTATTCCTACATAAACTTATTCTAAAGGAATTGGCCTATAAGTATGATCAAAATAAAATAAACCACTTCTTACATTTACTCTAATAAAAGTAGCTACATCATTGTAATTAGGTAATGTAGCCGAAAGTCCTACTATTCTGACCATTTCCTTTATAAATTTATTTATTTATTCATTTAAAAAATTAATACTTAGGTTTATTCTATCATTCTAATAGTTCTAGCAACAATGGATTCCAAAACTGGGCCTCTAGAATCATGTAATAAATGGATTTCGTCAATAATAAGAAGCTTTACTAATTCCGTATAAGTTCTATCTCCACTTTTTCTAGTTACAATATCCCATTTCTCAGGAGTCGCAATAATTAATTAGGTCTCTTCTATCTGTTCTTTTGAAAGTTAACTATCACCTGTTAATTCTTTAACAACAATACCATATTCTATTTTTATTTTTATTTTTTTTATTTTTTTTATTATTTTTTTCTAAATAAAAAAAAATTATTACTTTCTAATCTTTTATGAAAAGATAAAACCATTTCAGAAACTAAAGCTTTCATAGGTGCAATATAGACAATTTTAAATTTCGAAGTATCTATAGTTCCATCTCTTTTAATATATCTTCCTATTACTTAAAGCATCGTTAGAAGTGCCACATTAGTTTTACCTGCACCAGTAGGTGCACAAATAAGCATATTTTCAGGACTATTAAGTGCAGTATCACATACTTTAGTTTGAATAGGATTTAATTCTTCAAAATCTTTAAAAGCTAATTAAGCCCATTTAGGTAAAGAACTAATTTTTTTCTTTTCTGCGATATCCTATAAATTATTTATTTTTATTTTAAATAAAAAAAAAATACAGTATGTTTTGTAGCTGGTACATAAATTTCATCATAACCTTTAAAAGAGAATTTTTTAGTATTATCAGGAGGTTTGCATTTTTCATTACTCATAAAATGACTACCTTATTAGAACACTAAATTTTCCAAATCAAGAATTTTTTTCGATAATTTGTTAAATTCCTCATCTGTGATTTTACTTGCAGTTAAATAATCTTACATATCTTCCTATTCGATATCTTTTCCTTATTTAATATCGTTAGCTTTATTATTTTTAGATCTCAAATTGGACTCTTATTTTACTTTCTTATCTATATTTCTTAATTATTCTAATACTTTTTCTCCTGCTTCTGTTTTAGACATTTAGTCTAATACTTATTATCTTTCCTGCTCATCTTCAGCTCTTCCTAATAGGGTACAATAGTATATTTTATGGCGATTTTTTAATAACAGTTTAATTAAATCAAAATTTTCGTAATCTAATAACATTACAAGTTGATTTTCACAATTTATATCATTTTCTGAATGTAAAATTTATAATACTTGTTTGTCTAATTTTTATGCTTATACAGGATCTTTAAATGCCTAATATTTATTTTACATTACAAATATTTTTTTTTATTTTATATAAAAGTATTAATTACTTCATTTAATTTAGTTTAAAGCCAATAAGGATCTATCGTTCTAATATCAACATAAAACAAATCATTGTTTTCATTTAAATCTTCTGCATCCATTTCCATATTCTATTAAATAAAAAAAGGGTATAAGAAAAATTATAATATATATATATATATATATTACTGCTTTAGCTTTGATTTCAAGATTATTTTAACTTCCATTTTAATCTTCTTCTTCAGATTCATCATCGTCTTATTTATCTTATTCAATCAATTAAATATCTTAGTTATTAGCGAAATTATCTTCTTCGTCTTCTTCTTCGTCTAATCCAAAAGTTTAATCAATATCAGCTCTTTAATCATTATCATCTAATTAATTATCTTCCATAGACTAATGATAATCGTTAATCATTTTTGCCGCATTAAGTAATTGATCATAAAGTTCTTATTTAATGGGACCTAACATACCTTCTAGATCTTATTTTTTATCTTTATCTTTTTAATCATCAGATTTAAGAACTGCCAAAACCTCATCAGTAACGCTTCTTAAAACATCAGGAGGAGAATCTAATAAAATTTAATTAATTGTACTCAAAATAAACTCATATTAAACTCTATTTTCTTTTGTTTTTGGTTTATATAATATTGTTGCATCTATATCTGTATTTAATACATTTCTTGATTTATCCAATTTTATTCTTGTCTTTTGTCGAGGGGCTATATAATTTGCTTAAGTTTATCGTTTCTTGGTTATTTCTTCTTATTTTTTCTTCTATTCCTCTATTATTTTTAATGGCTATTATCGAGTTGCATAAATTCCCATTTCCTTCATTTCTATACGACCACATAGTGATATTGGCTCTCCTGTATGCTCATCTACTCTTTCTCTTCTTTCTCCTTATATTACAGCATTTGCTTCCTTTTTTATTAATTATATTTATTATTTTTGTCTTTTTTATTTACATAACCAAATTAATTGTCTCTTACTTATTGGTCCATTTATTATTTATTTATTTATATATTCTTGCTTTTTTTTTTTTTAGAAGATATATGTTATTTCCTAATTATATTTTTTTTATTTTGAATATATATATATTTTATCAAAAAAATAAAAAAATTGGTTCAAATATTTATTTTTTATTTTTTGTGTCTATTTATATTTTTAAAAATAATGTTTTATTCTTGTTTCTTCTGTAAATCAATTATAATTTTAATTCAAAAATAATAAATTTTAATATTGCAATAAAAATATAAGTTTAAAAAAAATATTAGTTTGAATAAAATAATTTATATCTAGTCAAATTAAATCATGAATTTCAAATAAAATATAAGTAATTTCTATTAATTGAAAAATAATTGGAAAAATCAGAAATACAATTATTTTAATAAAAACTAATCAATCATATATTCCGAAAAATAATAAGAATTATAATTATTATGTTTATATATTAAAATAAACAAATAAATAAAATATATAGCAAACATATTAATATGAAAAGCTTTAATCGTAAATTGAACTTTTTATAAAATAATAACAACCAAAGAAATAAACGAAAACTAATTTAAATATAAAAATAATTAACTAAAAGAATAAAATAAGTAATATTAAATAATTTACTTAAATAATATTTATTAATTTTAAGACTCTATGAATTTATATTAAAAAAGATAATTTAAAAGAAAAATAATAAAATGTAATAAATAATTAATATATTAAAAAAAAGAAACATATTAAACAATTCAAATATGAGTTATGAACAAAAAAATACCATAAAGGAGTTATACAATCAAATAAAATTAAATTAAAGTTGAGCAATCAAACTATTTATAAATATTATAATATTTATTTTAACAATAATAAAAAATAAAAATTGATAATAAATAAATATATACTTGTCCTTTTTTAAAAAATAACTTTAAATAAATAAAAAAGTCTATAATAATTGAAGTAAATTAAAAAAAATATTTAAATGCTTATTGTCAACAAAAGTAAATAAAGAAAAAAATTGTGTATTCAATAGATAGATTACAATTTTAGAGAGGATGATAAATATAATAGAAGGAGTGATATTGTTAATATTTTTGGAAATAATAAGAAAAACTAATTATTTATATCTAAAAATTAAAGGAAACATAAATATTGAAAACAATAGAAGCATAATGGTTATAACAAATAATCAAAACTAAGAATTTTATTAATATTATGTATAAAATAAATGAAGAAAAAAATTATAAATATTTAAAAATATTAATTGATTTAAAAATTTTGAAATTATAAATTATAAAGCAGAAGTATTCAAAAAAAGATATAAAGTTTAAAAGATTTAAGTTAATATAAAATTAAAAATAATATAATATATTTTTCAATTACAAAAATAAAAGAAAAGAAAATCTTTATGAATAATAATATTAAGAAAAAAATAGAATGATTTACTATAAAAAATAAATATAAAACAAATATATCAAATAAATAAATATAATTTAATTAATAATAAATTATTAAAATTATAGATATATATATATGTATTAAATATAAAAAAAATAAAACATTATTTTTATAAAAAATATATAAATATTTAATCTATGAAATATTATTATTATTATTATTATTATTATTATTATTATTATTATTTTTATTATTATTATTATTATAGATTTATTATTAATTATATTTTTATATTTTATATTATATATATTTTTTTTTTTATGATATATTTCTTCATTATTTAAAAATTTATTACTACATAAATATTTAAATTTTTTTTATTTATATTTAATCTATATTTTATATATTTTTTGTTTTGTTTAAGACTTTATATTAATTTTTTTACAAATTTTAATAATTATTAAATAAAATAATTTAGTTTTTTTCTTATATATATTATAAAAATAAAAAAATCAAACTCTAATTTAATTTTATTCTCCATTTATTTAAGTACTATTAGAAATTTATTATACTTCATCATTATCATTTTCAAAATTTTTATCTTTATTAATATACCAAGTAATAAAAAGTAGTATAATTGCTATAATGCTCATAATTCCAAAAAGCATAAAAGTAATATTCTATTTATTAAAAATATTATATAAAATAAAAAATAAAATAATATTTACACTTCCTAATTTATCATAAATATATCCACCTATTACTGAGCAAACGAAAATTCCTAAAACTCCAATTAAGCTAGCTAAGCCATTAATATAACCTCTATTATTGTTATCAGCATATTTGTTAATTAAATATTATGAGGAAGTCAAAAAACCACTCATTCCAACTCCAAGTATACTAATGGCTAAATAAGAAATCCAGCTATTAGGTCCTTTATCGGCAAAATTAAGCATAAAGCATCCGATTGAGGCTAATAAAAACATTGTAATATGAACTTTATATTTACAATATCTTTCCATAGCAATTCCATAAAAAATACAAAAAAATAGTATTATTGTGTAAGCAATTCCACTTAAAGTCGCAGCTTTAATATTAGCTTAATTATAATCAGGAATATACTAATTAAAGAAATAATATAAACAAATATTTTATATTATATATTATTTAATTTACCTTATTAGACCATAAAACTAAGAAAAGTGTAAACAAAATACTATCCCCTCTTGCTAAAAATGAAGTTAAGTATCCAATAAATATCATTGGATTTTTAGCTGATTATATTCCTATTTTTATAATTTAAACCATATCATTTTTTTTATCTTTAGTATTATCTAAATAATATTTACCGTTTTTAATATATATACACATCATACATCCTAAACAAAAATAAGAAAAAGCAATAACCCAGTAAATTTACTTGATACTTAATTAATTTCTTAAACCATTATTTATTATTTCTACAGAACTAACTGCTCCTAAACTTGCGAATACTACATTAATGGCAGCGCCTTTACCCTTTTTTTTATTTTTTTATTTTTAATTTTTTTTTTTACTTTTGTAATATTTTAAACATAATCTGCAAATATAGGAACTATACATATTGTAATACTTCCATGTGCGTATAAAATTCTTAAAAGTAAATACATAGGATATATAGATGTACTTAAAGGCATTAATGCTAATGATATAGAAATAATTAATATTCCATAAAATAATGTATATTTTCTACCAACTTTATCACATATTATTCCCATTATTGGTGCAAATAAAATTTTTATAATAATATCAGCTAATAGTAAATTTGCGTTTTCAGAGCCTTAGTTCTCCTATTTGATCTGGAACTTTTTATAAATAAAAATATAAATTTATTTAATTTATAATGCTTTACTTTATCTTAAAATAACATGGGTTACAAAGATTCAGTAGTAACAAATATTAAAGTTAATAAAAAGTAGTTAAGTAAAAGTGCTACATAATTTAATTTTGTAATTCCTTATTCAAGAAATATTAAATTCCAAAAAAATGTATATTATTTATTATTATCCTTATTTAATACTAAATTAGTATTTAAATTGGAGTCATAGTTTATTTAATCTTATTAAGACATTATATTCTATATAATAATATTTTTTAAATTTTTTTTATCAATCTTTTTGTTATTTTATTAGTAAATTAATGGATTCAAAATTATTTTTAATAAATATTTTTTATATAAAATTAAGTTTTTATATCTAATTTATATGTGTAACAAGTCAGATTTTATCAATATTTAATCATAGTTTAATATAAATTGTATTTAGTAATTTTAAATTCTTAAAATAAGAATTTATACAAATTTATTCTTTTAAAAATAAAAAAATAAAAATAAAATTAACAAAGATATATAAATTTGTAAATAAGAAACAAAATAAAATATATTTTTTCTTTTTTAAATTAAATATTATATATATTAAAATTAAATAAAAAATCATTTATGGATTAAAAAAATAAATAATATATGTCGATAAAAATTTAGAATAAAATATATATTTATAAGTATTATATTTATAAAATTTTATAAAAAGAATTAAAATAAAAAAAAAATTAAATTATTCATTAAATAAATTATAATTTATAAAAGAAAAAAAAATTATTTATTTTTAAATATTAATATATTTAAAAATAATTAATTAAATTATTTATATTTATATTAAAATAAAAATTTAATTTATTTATAATAAAATAAATATTCATAATAATTTTATTTTGTAATTTGTTTTATTTTATTTCTAATAAAATATATATTTTTTTTATTTAATTAAATATTATTTTTATTTATTTTGAAATTTAAATATTTTTATTTATTTTCTTAATAAAGATTGTTTGTATAAATATAAAATATTTAATAACTATT